AGTCACTGACAGAAGATCTGTATTGCCCAGCAGGTTCTTTCTTTTTTCTCTGCAAAATTTCAAAATGTAAAGATGGCTCTTTTGGGGACTAAAAAAATGGACTGTAAGGCAAAGTATGTAAGTAGATATACTTGTACATCTTCTTGGGAATATACTTCCAGGCAAGGTCACCAGCACTTTCTATTTTAGAGGGCCTACTGAATGAAAGGCATTTTCCTGTTTATTCCTGTACATGTTAAAAGTACAATAGGACAATTATGTAAAATTGGACTAAACAGTGAATTCAAGCAATTAATGATTTTGGATCATACAAAACAACCAAGAGGTAAATTGTTATAAACTCCTTCAGTGGTCAAAAATCAATAAAAGCTACAATGAAATGTCTTCTACCCTAGACTAGTTTTATAATGTCATCAAATATTTTCAATAGGGCTCTGTAGATAAAATGAAGGACTTAATACTGGCCTGCCCCCTTTTCTATGTTTAGCATTCTTGTCAATGTCGTAATTTTAAGAATATGTGTTCTAACCAGCAGGAGGGTAGTGAGCTACTAATGTGTCTCCATGCCTTCCACAGGAGGATAATCATTCACTCATTCTACAGATATTTACTGAGCAGATTTACTATGTGGCACAGACTGTCCTGTGTGGCTGGCATATAGTAGAGAACAAGACAGAAAAAGTTCTTGCCTTCCTGGAGCTTAGAGTTTTACAAGACAAATGACTATACAAATGAATGGATCGATGAAAACATGCACAAGGGTAGGCAGGTTAAGGTTCATGACACTGAGTGGACACAGATCAGCATATTTCATTGAAAAGGTTATTTTTTCACATCTTGACGTTCCTGAAATCAGGATTTGTCTTCATATTGATGGTACATTAAAACTGCTGACAACTTGGCAGTACTCAAGCACAAGTGTCATGTCCCTGCACATGAATAAACTTGGTCACAGCTATTCATTCTGTTTTCACTTATACTGAGTTATGGGCATTGTTGATACTGTATGCATTCTGTTTAATTGCCATTTAAATGGTTTTCAAAAGGATTATACTACGATTTGGCACTGCAAGATGTTACTGTGTATGCCCGCAGGCACTGAAACAGAGCATAAATGTTATATTACTAAAGGAAGCATTTGTCTTTGTTTGGCATTTCCATATTACCTTGCAAAGCAAGACACATTTTTTTTTAAACCAGGCTGAAGAAAGACACAAGTTGATGAAGCTATGTTATAGTTTGTTACTGAAATTCATGCTAATAGATTGTTCATCACACCCCAAAAAATGCTACGAAGGTACTGACTGGCAGGAGAAAGTGCCAAAACCCCTGGAAGAAATGAGGGAAATGAAAGCAATGAGAAACTAGGGTGACCAATTCATGCAGTGTCATGGAAGACCACTGTTCAAATGGTATGCCATAATAAAATTGCCAGTATTTTCTTTTTCTTCTTGTATAGCTCAAAAATAATGCTATGTTTTATGATTAATGGCATTTAAGATTTGATGACATATGAAAGAAAAGATGAATTTCTAGTTGAGAAGTTTTAGAAATAGAATAATAGAATGCACAGCAGAAGCTTTTTGATTCTGGACAGTTTTAAGTTAGTGAGCTATTTGTATGTGCACAGCTTTAGGCAACAGTGTGATTTCAATAATTTGGTATAGTTTTGCAGATTGCTAGTCATTTAAAGAAGTATGTTCACTCTTATTACGAACAATGTTTTTGGCACATCTTCCATTCTGGTGCAAGAGTATAACAATGAGCAAACTTCATGTCTACTTTCCCAATTTAATTGGTGCTGCTTCACTTTTTGGCAGTTTAGAGATATTAAAGAGGAGGTGTTGGGGCTGTATTTGAAACTCAAGCCTTACCACTGTTATGGAGGATGGAATGAAATAACTAGACAGGAGGGTCCATTTCAAATCGCACAGCATGCATACGGGACTTTGAGATTCTTAGCATGAGAGTAACAGGAGTAAAATGTCAACTATAAGGATATGTTTCCAGGCAGCATATGGTCATAGCTCAAAAATGCTCTTATTTCTTTTTAAGCTTAGTACTGCAAATAATTTTGGAACCAGAAAGAGTTCTAAATATACATACCAACTTGCAAACCATACCAAGGAAGTGAACACAAACACATATCCCCAACACATATACACACACCCTAGAGAAGAGAAATTATAAAACAATGGCTGTAGATTATAATAGACACAATTTTTAAGGCACAGCTTCAAAACTTCCTGCATCACAATCAAGACATCAATTTTTAATACCATGGAGCCAAGTGAAAACTGCCTGAATGTAAAAGTGAGTATCAAATCAGGAATGGGGTGTGGCTACATCCATCACTAAGACAAAAGGTAAAATGGTTTCTATATGGCGAACACATATTTCAATAGTGCTGACAATAGGCTGCACCATATACCTGGCATTTGACACCATGAAGAAGTCCTGCTTCCTGTTCCTAGGGCCCTTTCTAATCAGCAGTGGAGAATTTAGGGATTCTATGGACTAATACCACTTTCCCCAGTGACTTCATTTCAGTCTTTCCTTTTAAGTAGGCCGGCCTGTGTCAGGAATTCTCTGACAGTTGGTACGGGAGGATGAGAGTGCAGTGTGAACACTGCAGGGGATGCATTGCTGCCAACTGATGGGGTGTGCTTCCGTGTGCAGAGCTCAGATAGATTTGGATGACTGGGAGGGTAGAGACTGCTTCTTAAATGCCAGTGAGGTAACGCTTAGTTACCTGTCTTCTGAAACTCGCTTATCAGAAAGGGTGAGGGGAGTTTATATGTCTGGAGATTTCCATCTGATTTACAATGCTGGGGATGGGGCAGGTGAAGTCTGGGGAGGCCCTAGTGTTGGCCTTTGGTGCATGTCACACAGTGGTGGGTTCCCAGAGGGAGAAGACATTCTATAAAGGGGTCTGATGCAGGAGGCCAGTAGAGACAGTACGTGTTGCCATATTAGGATTCCCTACTATACTATAATAAGGGCAACTCTCTCAAGAAAGACTGGAAGACAGCATAGAGTAGTGGCCAAGAGATTGGGCAATGGATCAAACAGATCCAGGTTCAAATCCCTCCTCTATCACTTACTTGCCCTATAGTCTTGGGGAAATTCCAGAAACTCTTTAAATTCTAAAATTGGAAAAGTAATAATACCTCATAGAATGACTGTGAAAATTCAAATAATAATATATGTAAGACACCTAGTAATGTGTCTGGCACACAGAATGCACTCAGTGTACAGACAGTATTGTATCATCACTAAGGAAATTTCCTTAAGTGTAAATATTTCTACAGATATGATGCTTTCTGGTGTGAGAGTAAATCATATGGACCAGATCAAGATGTCCTTGGCTAAGGAGTATTGAGGGTATTATGAAGTTGCCTTATGGTATAAATATATCTTGATAAGAAGAAAGTATGTGAGAATCTACATGTGTGATCAGAAAGGTATTAGATAGGTTAGAATTGAACAGAATTCAATACATACATATTTGCTGATATCTACTAATTGCAAAACCATGTGTTATCTGCACGTTACTACCTCTACCCTGAGCCATTTTATGACAGACGTGTTCTACCATCTGTGTAAAACTCAATTCTAACTCTAATCATTATTTCTCTGCACTAAAGGAAGTTTTGTAAAGCAAATAATCCCCACCTAATCCATCATGCTTTGAAGGTTGAAACTTTCTCCTGCCTCCAAGTGTGGATTTGTGCTCTGTATTCTTCATTCCTGCCTCTCACTCGAAGAGGTGGGCTACAACGTCTACTCACTTTAGTTTGCTCCACAGCACCTGTCCCAGTGTTCAGAGAAAGCTGATTGAAAGCATGTGGTAAAATAGAAGAATATTAAAGAATCGACAGAAGTAATCATTAGCACTTTCGATACATTGGTGTTTGGGGACCTTTAATTAGAAGGTAAGGCAGATTTAAATTTTTGAAGCTCTTAAAGCATAGACCTTTCTTGGTGGAGTCCATTCTATGGGGAGAGTAGCCGCGATCACTGACTACCTGCTGCACTGTTTTCAAGCAAAAGCCGCAGAGTGGGGGCTCTGAATGCCGTCTCTAGAAAGCCCCCTCCCCAAGGGGGGTTCCCACAGAGGAATGTCGTCAAGTTAGGTCCTATGTCAGGAATGCTGCTCAGGTCAGAAAGTGGCTTGGGTTCCCTTGTGCCACACTCAGGGTGGGCTGCCTCTCTTTAAAGGGGCGGGCCTCAGGGACCACCGAGTCTGGCTCCTCAAGTCTGCGCATCAAACTTTCTCCTGCAACAAAACCTCTTCCAAACCACATGGAGGCAGGAGGAGGATGGAGCCGGGGATGCCGTCAGCTGCCGCCGGGAGACAGCCCCCCTGTCCCCTCCCGCTTCCCTCAGCCCCCCCGCTCTTCCTCGGAGGGAAGGCAGCCCGGACCGCGCGGCCCCGCCCAGCCCCACCCACCCGCTCACCGGCCCGCCGCGCAGTCCCCGGAGCCCAGAGCTTCACAAAGCCACTCCCGGGCGCTGCGATTCCCCGGGGCGAGGGGCGAGCGGGCTGGGTACCTCAGGGAGATGCCAGGACCCCGGCGCCCGAGGAGACTCGCAGCATCGCCGGGACGCCGTCGCCGCCAGAAGCTCCTGCGCTGCGCCCAAAGCCGGGGCCGCGGGACAGGGCGCCGCCG